TCCGTGCCCGCTCCGTGCCCGGCCCTTGCCTCTGGCAGCAGCTCTGCCTTTGCTGGGTGCCGTCCCGAGGGATGCAGGGGTTAAACTGTCCCTGGGGGCGATGGCGGGAGCCAGAGCATCCTCTCGACACAGCCTCGGGCGGCTGCGGTGGGCACAGCTGCGATGGGGCAGACCTTGGAGGTGTTCAGCTGCTGTCCTGGGGTGTGTGCTTTAAACTGGGGCTGCAAAACGGTCAAGACCCCTTGTGGCTGCCCTCCTGGTCCCCCTGTGCCATGGGTATCTCCCGTGGGAGATCGATGGCTTCTGGCAGGGGTCTCGGCCAGCCTGAGCTGAGTGCTGGTCACGACTGGATGGAAACTTGCAGCGCTGTAACTTCACCCTGCCAACAGATAAACTGAGGCACAGAGCAACCAGGCAAGGGGAACTCAAGCAGAGCCAGGGAGACAAGCGGAGCAGAGCAGCCAGCTACACCCAGGACTTCTTCCCCAACCTGTCCCCACCGCAGGGGGTGGTGGCATTTTCACTTTTGCCCTCTGCATGGCACCTCTTCACCCTGCTGTGCTGGTTCAGGGAGAAAATAAAAAGAGCAAGACCACTTCCCTGCCTCCACCCAGCAGTTACGCCATGTGATAAACAAAATGGAAATAAATCCTCCTGCATTTGCAGCAAATAGGTCTCCACGGGAGGTTGCTTTCAATAATTCAAATGCCATTGCAGAGCAGAGCCCACGCCAGTGGGTTTTAATAAACACAGCCGTAATGTGACATGCAATTTATTATTAAGCTTAAAACAGGAAGCAAAGAGTTTAATAAAAGCACCAGATTCCCCGTATCCATCACAGCAAGTGAGGGGATGCTGGCTGCGGGGGGAAGGCTGGCTGAGCTGTCTGCAGGGGCACGCAGAGCCGGGTTCGCTTTGCCACACACCTCCCAAACTGGGACCACAGGGACCCTGGGCAGGGCAGAGAGGTGTGAGCCAGACCTGGGGAAATGGGGGTTATTGCACAGATGGGGTAAGGCATGAAACACTGCCCGCTGCAGCCTGCACCCTGCCTGCTACACTCTCCTACAGCTGCCCAGCTCCCCGGGGCAGCCTTGGCAGAGCTCTGCACTGGCACCGCAGCACGCTTGTG